CTACTTCCTAAAGGATCTCATACAGCTTAAAAAGATAAACACATTGTAAGGAGGGCACACAAATTTAAAGCAGGATTTTAAGATTACTCAAAAGTCTTCAAGGAAAATAGATTCCTAGTCTGATGCCTCCCTTCCCCCAACCCCCATCCCCGCCACCTGCTGCTTCCCCTGGCCCTCTTCAAGACAGACAGGGGCATCAATGTGCCTCCTCCTACTTCTTGAGAATGAGGATAAACCCAGGAAGTAAATTCTCAATCTGGCTCTTTCCCAGCTTCCAGGTTGCTGCAAGCTGCCTGGGGTTAGAGGGGACATCTGGTGGATTCTGTCACTCTTAGAATGTCCATTTGCTCTCAGTCCGTGTGAGAAAAAGATGCATAATGGTGAAACTGGGTCACCACACACCCCTCACACTTTGAAAGGGCTTTTGGTGTGTTGCACAAGCTATAAACGCACGTAATGGCCTCCATTAAAGAGAGGTAGTCATCGAAGGTTGACACACAAACTCTCATGGCAGGACCTTGAGTCCCCATAAAATGTAATTAGGAAATAGCATCACTGAAATGCTGACCAAGACTTTCCTGGGCCCTGTTTTTGTGGGAGTGATTTCCTACACAATCCTTTGACTTCTTTTTCTGGTTATGAAAGAAGAAGACACACACCGTAGTAAACCATCATTAACTCCCCTCCTGCCCAGGCCTAGCATGAGCTTGGATTCTGGTATAACAATGAAGTGCCACCCATACTGTCTACAGAACACTCACACACACGAAATCCCACTAAGTCTATAAACTATTAAGAAGGGAAGCTGTCATAATCCCCATTGGAAAGAGAAGCTGAGCGACGTGAAAGGGTTTGTGAAAATGTCCCAGAGTCGTCACCAGGGGAGAATACGGGCCCTTGCCTCCTACGCTGTGGATAGTTTAGACCAATTGTGTTCCGTCCTGAGGTGTGAGTCGGGGCTGATGGTTAAACGGTTGCACAGGAGGCAGTAAAGCCGGTGCTTGTACTGCTCGGCAGCCAGCCAGCTCATCCAAACCTCCATTTATGACGAATACCATCCGAGCGGACCAACTGCTTTTCAAAGGGTTCTATTGCACTTGTTCATCCTGTCCGGGGAGGAAGCATGTGACACAACATGTGTGTGGAAGTCAGATAAGAATTTTCAGTAGTGACTTTTCTCCCAGGTCATCTGACTTAGCAACATGCGCCTTTAACCCCTGAGCCATCTTGCCAGCCCCCCAGTGACTCTCTGTTCTAGAAATGCATCCTTCCTTTCTTACACCCATTGGTTGTCCACTTTTTCTCCCTTCCCTGTGGTTCACAATTTCTTTTTTTTAACCGCCAAAGGATCGCACACCCACACACCCCTCTCTCTGGGATATACTTCCAAATCATGGTCTGGTTGCCCACCGAACACATTACTAATACTGACAAAGCTTTCTCTATACTCAAAGCCAACACTAAGGCTCTCTCGATCCTCTATGCAGAGTCAGAGAGGTTGACGGGTAGAGGCCCTTTTAGCGAAGCTACGTCCTCATTTCTTTTTTTGCACTTTGAACAAACAGAATGCTAACATAGAGCCTTGCCAGGATGCAGATACGCAATTATATCACCCTTGATGGTCTTAATGTTACTTTGGATCCTTGTATCCTGCCCGCAACTTCTAATGGGATACCTGGCATTAGGTTTGTTGCTGCTGTTTGGTGCAAAGTCTGGCTAAGGAGGTTAGAAAGGAAGAGAAGGAAATGGGCAATACAGAAGAGCAGATTTGTAAAGAAATTATGTGAGGTGTTTTCTCATCGTTACTCTCTAGAAGAGAAATCCCACATTCTGACTGGTTACCCTTGCTTATATTCTGGGAAAACAGAAGTCTTCTGATCTTAATTTTTACAGAAGGAGCCTAGAAAGTCTATTCCTAAAGGTTTTGGGCCAGGTGTATCATTAAGTACCTGTAATCCTAGCATCCAAGGGGCCAAGGCAGAGGGATTGCAAGTTTAAAGCCAGCCTAGACTATATAATGAATTCTGGCCAGCCTGGACTACACCATGAGCCTCTGCCTCCTCACCCCCACCACACACAAACCACTCCTCCCCCAAAAATCTTATTTTGATTATTAAAATTCATTTCATGTAAAGCATAATTATCTTCAGTTTCCTTAAGAATGCATCCTAAGGCACTCACCAATTTACAATTACTTCAAAAAACAAAAACAAACAAAAAAATTAAAAATAAACCAATCCGGTCAGCACCTTTTTTGAAAAGGAAGAAGAAAGCTATGTGTCACTTCACACCTATCCTGAACACTCCTCAAATGTTATGATTCACAACATTTTGGTTTCCCCAAAGGAGCCTAGAGTTGGGGATGAAGCTGAGCGGTAAAGCCCGTGTGTGCCTGCACAAAGCCTGGGCCCAATCCCAGGACAGTACCTAGTCCGGGCTACGTATACTATGAATATGTATTTAATGTGCAATTGCTATGTTCTTCAGAAAAATCTGTTCTCAACGTTCTGACCCTCGGCATGAGGTCTGTGATTCTGATGGAGAAAGTCTGTGTCCAGCGCAGCTGTGTGCCTGTAGCAGGGTAGAAGGGATGCGAACTTCCCGTGTAAGCGGAAGTAAAGGCCAGCAGAAACAGGAAAGCACACCGGGATAATCACACGAAGGCAAGACATTCTGGAAATTCCATGTGGTTTTCAAAAGGAAGAGACAATCTCTCCAGCAAAACATTTTATATTCATCCATTGAATCACACGATTAAACTTAACATAACCAGTGAATGTCCAGATGTGTGTGATATAAAGCACACTGCATCACCTAGGAAGTGCACTAACACAAGCGGTCTCAGTTTACAATCACCAGAGAGATGATCAGACAAGATGAGAATGTGAAAACTCTACATCCTATCTATCCTTGTACCCCCAAAAGTCTGTGTCACACATACATACACACATACACACACACACAGGTTACGATGCTGTTCCGCAATATGAAAGCCACAATGGCAAATTGCCCAGTGTAATTATATTAATAAGTGGGCTTTGGGGAAATCCTAGTTTTAACATTAGTAAAGATAAAGGAATTTGGGTGGCAATTGAAATTGAATTTGGGAAGGTGTTTGATGATAATAGGTAACAGTTAGTAACTTCTTAGCATGTTCATGCATCTGCCAGTATGGAAAAAGTGCGTTCATTTGTTTCTCTATTTATTGCTAGGGCTGAAGAGTCAATCCAGGTCATCTTCCACGAGAGTTCCCTACAGCTGAGCTACACCCCAATCCCAGAATACCCTTATTTCTAGAAGAGGTTTGCTGAGGCTCGGTGGAGCCACAGGCCTACAGCGACTTCCCGGAGAGCTTAGCTCCCCAGATCAGAATATACACAAATACGGGGTGGGGGCTGAGAAACATGACAAAGGGGACTTTTGTGGTTGTCTGGGATTGCATCTCACTGTATAGCCCTGGTTAGCCCAGTCTGCACCACGTAGTCCAGGGCGACCTTAACTCTTAGCAATTCTGTCGCTTCAGCCCCCCAAGTGCTGGAATTACAGGTTCGGGCCACCATACACAGCTGATAAAATTAGCAATTATTAAGTCCGGTGAGTGGATATATTGATATCTATTATACTGTTCTTTAAACTTTCCACGTCAAGTGTTAGAAGACATAGTGGCACGGTAACTAGTCTCCTCTGTCACAAGGAACATGTGTGCTTACATTTAATAGCAAAATCACGTTATAAATGCTGCACTGGGCCAGTTCCTGGAGACAACTCTGAGAGCCTCCAAAGACAGTGGACTGAGGACAAAGTAGAGCCCTCCTACATTGGCTGTGTTTTCCACTCTCTTTGAAATCCTTATTCACACATCAAAGATCCTTTCAACACATGACTAAGAAGTTACTAAATATGTCTAGAGTTTGACAATCTACTAATTAATATTTTTATAAAATCAGAACTTCTATGCTGGCCAGCTAGCCTAGCCACTTGGCCAGGAAGCCTAGTCTCAGGGGATAAAAAAAGACCCAAGAACCAACACTCAGGTTGTCCTGTGGCCTATGCACAGGTCTACACACACACACACACACACACACACACACACAGGCTTTAAGTGTTTTAGGTGACTGCAGCAGAGGAACGGAAACACAGATCCCTCAGCTTGCGTGACACTCACCCTTTCCAGGGTTCAAGTTCATCATTTAGTGCGCTTTAAAGGAGCAGCTACTACAGCGAGCTGCGGACAACCATCAAACATGCTTCTAGGAAGTCGATTAGCCATGGCCCTACCTGCCTGGCCTCCCATGGACTCTCTGAACTTAGCCCAACACCTCTGCCCACTGACGCTCTTAAATGCAAGTCAAGGAACCAAACCACAGAGCCTGTGTTCTTCAGAAGACAGTAAGGAACTCCCACAGACTCCAGTCACCATTGTCCTTGAAGCACAATGAGATAAACCTGCTAGCCTGGGGTGCTGACTCTTCAGGGCAGACATAACTTACTCATCACTTGTCTTTCAGGCTTTACTGGTGTTTGAGTGCTTGGAATAGGGTGGGGGGGGTGGGAGGGTGGGGGGGTGGCACAGGCATGTGGTCTGGTTACCCCATTATCTGCTGTTGGGAATGAAGAGGTGGCAAGGGAAAGAAAGCAGCAGCTCACAGCTGCTGGTGGGCTCTCTTCCTTTCTGGTCTCTTCTAGGAAGGACAGCTTTTAGACGATAAACTTGACGGATTAGAGATTTCCCAAAGGTGGACAGCAAGTGGCCCGATCCTATCCTGTTTTTGAGTGTTTGTATTGTATTGAAAGACAGATGTGAGGTGCATCTGAAAACTCGTTCAAACAACGCTTTACCTCAAACTGAAAACATAGCGTACCAAAAATAGAACTTAAAAGGAGTGAGCCACAACACTTAATAATATTGAAAATACAAAGGATCGTGTTCCTTTATATGTGGGGAAGAAAAGGAACATCTCTGTGGGACAACTACGCCCCCAGAGAACAGCAGGTCTTACCTAGGTACAAGGATGCGTTGTCTTTCTTGACGTTGTCATCTAAATAGGTTGGTCCCAGGGTGTAAATCGGTGTGGAGCCCATTCCAATGAGAACCTGTGCACAAACGAATAAAGCCACATAGACCCAGTGGTTATTTCCTCCCGATTCCTTGGGACAGGGAGGAGGCTCCAAGGTGGCCGTGGAGTTGCCATTCTGACAAAGGCCATCGTTGGAAACCGAAGCGTTCAACTCTTGGATTTGGTAGGGAGGCGAGATGAAGTGAGGTAAGGCAAAGAGCGCAGCCCCGACAGCGATAAGAAGTCCACCCACCGCCAGCCACAGAGGCCTTCTCCCACGGCCACCAAAGTAGCTGACGAACACCACCACCACCAGGTTTCCTATGTCGAAGCAGCTGACCAGCAGCCCGGACTCGGAACTCTTCAGGCTATAGCGCCTTTCAATGGTAGTGATGACGCTGCTTAGGTACCCAGAGACCATCAAGGCCTGGATGAAGGTCAGGAAACACATGCACACTAGGAAACAGCGAGAATCCGTGAGGACCACATAGAGACACCTTCTCTCCTGGAGTGTAGCCAGAGTAGAAGACACCGACAGAGTTTTGCTGGGGTCCATCCTGTGGTTGCAGTCGATGACTTCCGCTGCAGCCCCTGCCGAAGTGGATGGGGCAGAAGGGCTAGGGACTATCAGGTTCGGTCCTCGATGCCTCTCCTGGTGACCCAAAGCTTCAGTGCAGCCCAAGGCCAGTTTGCCATCTGCGTTCCCAGTACTGAGATTCGGCCGGCAGGAGGCGCTGTGCAGGACTGGTAAACTCTTCGACCTGAAGGTCTCTGACTCGCACTTCTCTTGGACAGCTCCCACCGCCGCAGGTGCCTCCAGCTGCTCTTGGGCCCGGGACTGCACAGTCCCTTCGTCCATGGTTCTTAAAATTTGAACGTTTATCCCATGCAAGGCCTCCGGCACTTTTCATCCACCTGCACGAGGGGCCGAAGCCAAGCCCACTCAGTTTTGCCCACCTGAGACCCGGGCTGCGTGTGTCAGAGCCGCTTAACGGAACATCTCAGCAGCAGGCAGGTGCCCAGAACATCCTGACCGGAGGCGCAGCGGGGAGGTTTCGCCACCTCGTGCTGGGGGAGCTAAAGATCCTCACGGTCCTGCGAGGAGCCTTACTCGGCGTCCACCTCCCGGGGATAGCTCGCGGCAGTCGCTTTGCGCGTCCGGTGCTCATCCCCTCCGCCACCGCCTCTCAAACGGTGGCCAGGAGCAAGAGCGCTCTGTGCCCAGTGTGGTGTCACTTAGCGCGACTGTCCGAACCGCATCCCACTTAGTACTGCCAGGGGTGTTCGGTGCCCACCGCGGGGACTGTGATACATTCGGGGGTGAAACTGCCAACCTGCAAGCAGAGAACGGATAGTCAGGGAAGGATGGCTGAAGTTGGAGCTGGCGTCCCGGAAGGGGGTGGGGGGTAACGCTAGGTACCCATGGTCCCCAGAGGGATCGAGATGCTAGCCACTAGATGAACCCGGCAGGAAGAGCCCACAGAGGCTGCTGCCTCAAGTCCCGGAACAATGAGCAGCAGGCGGTCCGCCGAGACTCTCCCTCATTGTCTGCGGCGAGCCTGCCCCTGCCCCGCCCCTTTTGCCTTAAACTGTGCGTTTGCTTTTATATGTTAATAATTATCAACCGGGCAGCTCTGACTCAGAGGCAGTGTCTTTAAATTCGAGTGAACTAATTGCAGCCTTTTGGTACTCCGACTCTGTGACTCAAAATAGAAGATTCCCAAAAGAACAAAGGAAAGTTTTTTTTTCTTTTACAAACACACAATGCTTTGCCGATCTCAACTTTTAAAATGCATTTTTTAAGCAATAGAAAAAAAACTACGTGTAGAAATGTGTTTGCACATTTGTACGCTAGCACGTGTGCGCGACGAGATGTGAATTCGTCTATTCCATCAGACACCTACTTATTCAAAGCTAAAGGCAGCCGGAGGAAAGAAAAAAAAGGTCAACATGCTTGCCTGGTTATTCTTTACGCTAAAAATAGACCCTTGCCGGAAAGAACTATTCAATTACAAGTAACGAGGGCATTCAAGGCTGTGGCCCACGTTAAGTCCCAGAGCGCAATGTTGAGCGAAACCGAAAATCAATTTGCTTTGCAGATGGCTGGATGAAGACACAACCAAACAAAGAGACGCTGGTATAGCGTGCGCGAGGAACCCACCGAAGCGGCTCAGCACAGGCGGGCCGGCAGGGAGGTGTGCTATTTGCCTAGTGCACCCCAAGGAACGTGGGCCCTGGGGTGTGTGCGCGCCTGCGCAAATACACACAGAGAGAGAGAGAGAGAGAGAGAGAGAGAGAGAGAGAGAGAGAGAGAACATGTTAAAAACTGTTTGTGCAATCCGGCACTCAACTTGAATTCCGCGAGCTCCAACATCGGTGTACCCTGGTGTAAACCTAATAACCTAATCTTGGAGAATCCTACACCCCTCCCATCCTGCCGCGATGTGCACCTGGTGGGAGGGATTGGGGCTCCGCTGCGTGGGTTTCCTGCTGAGCTTTTGTAGTATTGCTGCGAAAAGAAAAAGAAAGGGTAGAAGAAGAAAGAGAAAGGCGGAGTAACGGCTGTGAGTGGCAGTCACGGCATCTCCCTGGACTCCTCTGGACCGGACTCGCTTGCAGATTCCTGGCCTTCCAGTGGCTCGCAGACCTGGTCTTGGGCTCCGCCCGCTTACCCCTGCGCCTTCCCGGGAAACTCCACCCGTGGCTGCGCGCCGAGCTGGGGAATCCCGGCGTCGGAGCCCCTGCCTGGGGGAGCAGCCGCCTCGCGGCGCAGACTCGGATAGGATGGACAACGCGGATCCCAGACCGGAGCTCTCGGAACAGATGCGGAATCCCAGGGATACCCCATACGTGCGTGCGCGCGAACACACACACACACACACACACACACACACACACACACACACACACCGTGGGAGGACAGAACTGCCAGGGATAGCTCGCCGCTCTGCTGGGTCCACAAGCCTCCACAACTCACTAGCGAGGGTGATGAGCAGTCTGCTGGGCTGGGAGAGGAGCGGCCGCAGTAGAACGGCGGTGATGCGGGCAGATAAGCCAGCCTCCTGCCGGTCTCAGTCCCGCCGCCGAGAAATCAGGGAGTGAAACTGCGACTCGGGCTGGCTAACTCTTCCCCCAACCCCTGGCCTGTCACCCAAGCCTCTTCTCTCCAGACACACGAGCACCGAGACGCGCCAGGACTGGAGCAGCAGAGGGCGCAGGCGCGCGGGCAGTCACCCAACCCAGTCCGCAGGCAACCAGCCACCCCTCTTTGCCCTTTACCTGCAAAACGACCTGCGACCCAAGGTGCCCCAAGGAAGCGCGCGTCAAAAAGTCACCTACTGAGACAGAGAGTCATTTTATGTAAAGTATTTTGGTTCGTTTCTACCAAGTTCACCATGCACCATGTCTGGGACCAAGTGGAGCAAGATCCCTAATGTAGGGAAACTTGTCTTGCCAAGAAAATATTTACGTTAAGGGCTTGAATCCATGCAGTACTTTCTTACAGCTTGCTACTGCAGAACCAGACACCGGGGAATCTTCCTTTCCAGAGCAGGAAGGGTGTTTGCAAAGGCCCAGGGATATGGCGCCACGAGGAAACCAGTAGACTCGTTGCTAGAAGATTGGAGAGATGGGGCAGAGGACAGGACGCAGGAGTTTCAGGACGCAGGAGTTTCATGACTTGTGTATTGTCAGTTCCTAGGTGCCATGACATTCTGCCTTTCTTACCAGAAATAGCTTCGTCCGTGATGGGTAGAGTATTGGAGTGGAGAGACAAGCAAGGTGGACATATCGATCTGTGATGAGGTAGGAGCCCAGGAGACAGAAAGCAAGTTGAGAAGGTAGATGTGCCTAGCCTAGTTAGGCCAGCACAGGGGGGACTCTTCCATTTAACACTTGAGTAAATAATGAATGAAACTCAATCAAAACCTGAGAGAAGAAATAAATATACTAGCTGTTCTCATTTTATGAGGGTTGAGTGTAATGCAGCATCCAAGTGTGCCTACCCCATAAACTACGGGGTATAGGACGTTCAGAAAGTTTGGAATAAGCACGAAGATTAGTAGTCGTTAGCCACAAAGACAGTGTGAGAAAGGATGAGTGACTAGGGCAGATTCCAAACTGAGAAGAGATACAGGCTAAAGATGGGGCACTGGGAACATTAAGATCTGAGAGAATGACAGTTTAAAAAAATAGACTAGAAACAGGAACCGGAAAGGTAGATAAAGAATAAATGTCGCTGAGGCCAAAGAAGCAGGCAGATTAAAGAGGGCAACAGAATGAAAAGGCCCTGACAGCTTCCGGTACCCATGCTCCTCTGACTACGGTGCCACACCAGCCAGGCCACTGGCTGCCCCTATGACAGTACCATTCTCACTTTACAGATGCGGCGTGTGTGCTGTGGTCCAAAGGTCCATGTCTACAGCCAGGCAGAGCGCATATGTCTGTAATCTAAGCAGAAACAGGAGGATTGAAATCTCAAGGCTAGCTTGGGGGTTACACAGCAAGATTTTGTCACAAAAGAAAGGAAGGAAGGAAGGAAGGAAGGAAGGAAGGAAGGAAGGAAGGAAGGAAGGAAAAGAAAGATCTGGAGACTGGAGTAATGGCTCACTCCAGAATACCCAGGTCTAATTCCCAAAACCCACATGGTGGGTTATAATCATCTCTAACTCTGGTCTCAGAGGATCTGACAATCATCTCTGGCCTCTAAGGACACTGCATACACATGGTGCTCAGACATACATACAGGCAAAACACTTGCACACATAAAAATTATTTTTTTTAAAAAAAAAGAGCTGTTTCTTGTGGCCCTTACTTTCTGCTCCCTTCCCTCTGGCTAAGTGATGTCTTGACTTTTAGCTCTTGAGGATCCCACTTCAGTCAAACAACTCTCAAGTGTACAGATGACCTTTAAAAACATGTGAGACCAGTGGACACCTAAGAAGAATTCAAGTCTAGCCAGGAATGGTGGTGCACGCATTTGATCCCGACACTCAGGAGGCTGAGGCAGGCAGATCTCTGTGAGTTCGAGGCCAGCCTGGTCTATAGAGTGAGTTCCAAGATAGCCAAAGATACACAGAGAAACCCTGTCTCAAAAAAGGAAAGTAGAGCCCGTGAGCCTGCAGCCACGCAGAGACAGCACTAATGTAGCAGTCGGCAGATTGACTGATCACTATTTCCTGGGTCTCTGTCGCTGCCCACACAAGTCTGTGATCACTTGTCCCCAACAGATAGTACGACCCTAGGTGCCACTCCTTATTAAAATGTAGATTCCCCTGCTGATAAAATAAACAAAAATATGTGGTGCTTCCTGTACCTAACTCTTTCTCAGAGCTTATTCTGGATGGGAACAGAATTGATTGACATTGGCTTATCTCCCTCTCAGCACTTGGTCCCCCTCTCTCATTTCAACCTTGTTTCCAGACGTCAGCTGCTCTGTAGCAGATCTGATCTCTTACATCAGGTCCAGGGCTCCCCTACTGAAAGCTACACAGCTGTGTTCCTGGAACTGACTTCTTAGTCATGGTTAGTTACCATACTCACCCTAGAAATGACTCTCAGAGCCAACAGAAGCATGTCGTTGTTTGGCCGCTAATAGAGGTCATGCTTTATAGACAGCATTTAAAGGGTTCAGTTAGCTGAATGCTTCACATAAGAAGCATTCAATATGAAATGTCTCCTTTCCTGTGTCTCTGATAGCTCGTGTGTGATAGGCATTGCGGTGAGAAGCATGTAAGAGGAAGCAGAGCTCAGCTCATGGAGAACAGGAGAGAGCAGAGAGAAGGATGGAGGACAGGTGGGGAAAGGGAAACAGAGAACAGCCTTAGGACAGGCTACTCCTTCCTATAACACAGACCTCAAGGCTACATGTCTCCTAATCTATCCCCTGTGATACTGTGGTTAAATAAGCATTGCTTCAGAGTTGTCATGATTCAACCACCTCACAAGGACTGGACCACAAGCTGAGAACTGATCCCTCAGTCCAGGAGCCTTTTATGAGGACACGTCACATCTGAACCATGACATTAGTGCCTTTACTGACCCCAATCTTCAGCTCAACAGAAAGAAATGGAGTCAGCTTGTAGAATTCTGTTGCCCTAGGGCTTCTTTCATTGTGTATGTGGTTGCCTTGTTTGATACATTGGAAGAGGAAGCCTGTGCCCAGAAACTCTCTTCAAAATTTCAAGTTTGCTTAGTTTCTTCTAAGTCACTTGAGAACAGCTAAGGCTGTAACAATCTGTACATTCAACACAGGAAGGTGAGGAAGGCAGGGAGGCCGCCATTAAACATCTCCCTTTCCTGCCTGCCACTCAGGGCTGCTTTCAGGAGACTTCCCAGAAACAAGGACTGAGTTGTACTCAAGAATAGTTCCTGGGCTTAAAATAGAGCTTGAATGTAATAGTTAATCTTCATAGTTAACTTGATGAGATCCAGACATACCCACGGAGCATGCCTCTGTGCATTGTGGGGGCGTTTCCAGAGACACTTAACCCGAAGAGGGAAGATTGCCATGAACACGGGATGCACCACCCACGGGCTGGAATCCTGGATTGTGTACTGAAAAGACAAAGGGAGGAGGACAGAACTCCAGCCTTCACCTCGCTCTGCTTCCAGACAGCAGATACCATGTGACCAGCCGCCTCACACGTCTGTCTTTTTGACTTCCCCACCATGCTGGACTGTGTCCTCTCAAACAGCGAGTCAAAATAAGCCCTTATATCACTTCTCATCACATCTGGTCACAACAAGGAAAAAAATCAGCTAATACACATGAGATTTTCATTGAACTGAGTACTGATTGCTTCTGAGGGGGAAGCGTGTCTTTCAGGAGGGTACTTAACTAGATTTGGCGTTTATGCTCATACTGAGACACGAGCTTCAAGTTGCATCAGTCAAAAGAGAGGGAGACCTGAGCCTGTGCTCCCACTGTAAATGGCTGGAGGATTCTACAAGAGCTAACAAAGTTGAAAGTCACACGTGTTCACTTCGGTGCTATGAACTTTGAACCCTAAGAAACTGCAGTCACAGTCCTACAAAGGAACATGCAGGTGCTCAGCCTGAGGAATGGAAGACCTCATCAGTCAGGCCCTTAAAAAAAATCTACTTAGCAGGGCTGGAAAGATGGTTTAGAGGTTAAGAGCACTGGTTGCTCTTCAGAGGTCCCAAGTTCAATTCCCAGCAGCTACATGGTGGCTCACAGCCATCTGTAATGAGATCTGGTTCTCTCTACATGCAGGCAAAACACTGTATACATAATAAATAAATCTTAAAAAAAATCTACTTAACTCCCTTAATCAAATTTATGCATGCCCAACATTCCAAGATTTGTCATGAGGATGGCTTGCCTATGAAGCAGAGATACTTATCCCAAAAGCTTCAGGTCCTCTTGAAAAGTGTTCCATAAGCTGGATGTTGCATTGTGTGGGACACCTGCAACCCCAGTACTGAGAAGTAGGGGCAGGAGGGTCAGTCGTTCATACTCATTCCCATCTGCATTGCAAGCTAGAAACCAGCCTGGGCTACGTGAGATCCTGACTTTAATTGAAAAACAAAGCATCTCATGGTTACCACCATTCCTCCTAGGCCTGGGAAGGACAGAGGCAGAACAGAAGGGGTTAGAAAAGAAGTTGGGAGACAGAATTACCCAAGGGCCCTAAAGGTCTCTGCACGTTCTTTTGGCATAAGCAAAGAGTATATAGTCTGAGTGTCCTTTGCCCAGACCATCTCTCAAGCATTTTTGATGCCAAGGATCCTGAGGACTGACCAATACTTGCTAGTCTATTACCGAATAGCAGTCTTCCTCCTGTGCTGTGTGTACGAGTGCGGGCAATGGACTCTTCCCATCACTGCATAAGTCTGAGGGTCTCTGGATGTTGGAAACATCTCCCCAGTACCCAGGATAAACTTACCCACTTGTCCATGAGGTCAAGTTCTACACCCTAGACAGTTCTTTAAAAGCACTACCCAATAGAACATACTACACCGACACCCTAAATTTCTTTATACTGGGTAACACCGTTGGCTGAAGGCCTGGGATTTGAAACAAATCTTTTCTCCATTGGCCTTCAGCATGCTTTCCCTGGATTCTTTTCTGGTGTTTGTTTTCTTAAACAGCAGTGTATGCAAAGCTAGCTTTAAAAATAAAACAAAATAAGCAAGCCATCAAAGAAGCAAA